ATTTGTCAAATTAAATTATTGGAGAGTACCCACAACTGGGCTTTCTATTAGCCTAAGTTCCTTCTTTTTTTGAACTGCTCAGATCCTCAATAGCACCTCTCTCCATTACCACCAAGAATTGTCACTGGGAACCACTGCCACAACATGCATAAAGTAGTGTCCCCATTTTTTTCATTTGAAAAGTGGAAATGATTGAATAAAGCAAACACCCCTGTTACTCTTGGTAACAACAAATGCACAAAGGCGTTCCCTACTTTGTTTAAAAAAAAAAAAAACTGGAAAATTAGTCTTGGTATCTGGTTTTTGTGTGTGTGTGTGTGTTTTTTTTCTTCTCTTCTGTGAATGCCATTATGTTGGTTGAGTTCCTTTAGACTTTATATAATGAATTTATGTTTTTGTCTATCAAAAAGAACATGGGAAAAAAGAAAGGAAGATAAGGCACAATCCCATCTCCCAAGTAAGATGTTGGAAGTGACTTTATGTCATCTCTGCTGGCCAAGTTGTAATACCCCGATAATTTTAAAAGATTTATTAATTAGGATTAATTATTTTATTTTATTTTTCAATGATTTATTTTATTTTATTGAGTGCTAGATTAATTATCTTATTTTAATTAAGTTATATTTCGTGATTATGTATGATGATTGATTGTTTGTATGGTTGATTATTGATTGAATTATTGGTGTGTTGATTTTATTGGTATTATATGACTTAGTTGTAAATTCTTGTTTGTTTATGTGCTTCATGTAATTAGTTATTTTAATTTCTGTATTTAATTAATTATCTTATTTATTTAAATTAATTGGATTGGGCTTAAGGAAAGTTGGACCAAAAGATGTGGTCTTGGGCTTGTATGAAACCTTATTGGGTTAATTAATGAAGGTCCGTGGTTATTTAATTATTTAAATGATCACTTTTGTATCAATTATATTTTTATATATATATATATATATATATATATATATATAATTATATATAAATATAATTAATTAATAATTGTTATATATAGATATATATTTATTGATATTTATAAGTATATATGATTTAATTAACTAATGAGTTAATTATGGAAGGAATATATATTTATATATATATATATATATGTTTATAGATATAAATTATTTAAAGATTATTATTTTAATTCATAATACTAGTTGGAATAGGATTTGGAATTTAAGGTGTATAAAAATACACATAAGGCTTTAGGGTTAAAGGTTTTACACGTTAGAAAAATAAAACAGACAGAGAGAGAGGAAGAAGAAGGGCTGATAAGGAGGAGGTCGGATCTGAAAAGGAGGACGTCGGAATTGGAAGAGATAATTAAAGCTTAAAGCGTCGGTTTCGTTTCGAAACTTTCAGGCGAGTTTTCTCTAACTTTCCTCTTAGAACTCATAAGGATTTCACCTTGAGTATCAAGGCTTTAATTAAATTTATTTGTTTAAAAATTATGGTTAGATCGGAATAATTAAAAAGTATAAACTATTATATTTGATTTTTAGATTATTGGATTTTAATTGATATATATAGGTGTTATGTATATTTTAAAATCAATCTATAGGTGGATTTGTGACCCAAGAGAGTTAATTATGGTTTCTTTATTTTCTAGAATTGTTCTGTAATTTTCTGGAATTTTTCTGATATTTTTAGGAATTTATTAGGATTTATTTTCCTATTATTTGTTAGGAAAATAATTTTATATATATATATATATATATATACTAGGTAACTGGCGCATGTGGAGCGGCGGCACAATAAAGAATTGATCCAGTGCGGTGCGGTGTAGGATAATAGGGTGTATACGCCAATTAGGGCCATTTGATTAATTAAACTTATGTGAATTGATATGGTGCATCGCGGCGCATAAAACTTTGGTGCGCATGTGTATCTGGACCATAAAAGTGGTCTGGTCAACTATGGGATTATTTGGTGTATTGCAGACCATGAGAAGATGGTGCAGTCGCTGATCTGGACCTTAGATCTATTATAGTTAATAGAAAATAATCTAGTGTGAGCGTGTTCATTTGCGCACTCATTTATGACCATTGGATGCGGCATAAAGGAAGTGATGGATTCAGTGTGGTGAGCTCACGGTAGCTGAAAGAGCTTAGCCAATACCAGCACACAAGGAGGCTTGAATCCAGCGCGTGCAAGTGCATAGTAAGCACGTGGGCGCGCGTGGGAAACTATGTTGGCCTAATTCGACACTAGAAATTAAAACGGTCATAACTTAGTCATTTTAAATCGAAATTGGGTCTTTCTTGAGCTCAAATTCAAGGATTTTTCGTCTTCTTTCCAATGGTACCAATTTCATTATCAGATTCCCATCCTACTAGGAGATATTTATGTTTTAGTGAGAAAGTGTCGGAAAACTATTTAAACCAATATGGAGTATTTAAAGGAAACTATTTCTGAGATATTTAGTTGCACTAATTTGTGTAAATATAATAAATTAATAATTTGTTATGGAAGGAAGTGTATATATATATATAATTATTTATATATGGGTATATATAGTTTAATTTGTCTATGCATTGTATGAAAGGATATATATGGGTATATATAGTTTAATTTGTCTATGCATTGTATGAAAGGATGAATATATATATATATATATATATATATATATATGTGTGTATGTATGTATGTATATTGATTTTAAATAATCAAGGATTATTAAAGAAGGTGTTAAACACATATATACATTAAATAACATATGTGTAGGTATATATATATATATAAATCATTTAAGATGATTAATATTATCATTCTTATTTGGCATATCTTAATAGGCTGGTTGTTAAATTAATGATATGCGTATAATATGCATGTGATGGCTATGTATGATTTAACGTATTGTTAATTTTAAAGTTAATTCATGGTTAAAGTGTGGGCATGGATGAATTGTCAAATGATTAAATATATTACCTAAATATTTGTATGAATAGAATACATATATGGAAAGCATGGATGAATTGCTAATTAAATGTATGAATAAATATACCTGTGGAGGCATGGTTGAATTGCCAATGTATAAATATACATACACGGAGGCATGGTTGAATTGCCAATGTATAAATAACTATACTTATGGAGGCATGGTTGAATTGCCAATATATAAATAAAAATATTTACAATGGCATGGTTGATTTGCCAAAGCATAATTACGTTGTTATGTGTTAGATGATTAAAATATCATCTATAGTTGTTGTATGTATAGATTGGATTAGGGTTAGATATTCTTAAATGAGAATAGTTTAGTACTTACTGGTTAGTGTATTATTTTACATTAATAAAATAATATTGGGGAAGACGTGGATGATTTGTCAAAACTTGGATTTTGGATATGTGATTTAAACAATTAAAATCATTATCGGGTTGGGATTAAATAGAGTATTTCTTTTATTATAATTTGTTGTTTAAATGATTAAACAACTGACTAGGATGGGATTAAGGTCAAAGGAGTTTTTATAAAATGAAATGGTAGATTGGTCTAGGTATGAATATTATTTTAATAATTATTTAATAGGTATGGAAATTTAATAAACCTATTAATGGATGTGATTAGTATAGTATATATAATTATATATAGACATGTATATCGTGCTTTATTAAAGTTAAAACTTTATTAGGTTTGGTTTTGATCAGAGATGATCTGTTTATTGGTTTTCAGAGGCCTGGTAGAGTGAACTTGCTCGTAGGGTTTAACCCACGATTTATTTTTCAGGTTATTAGAGGTTCCAGTCTCGAGGTTGAGGATCCGCAGCTGGGAGACTGTCATTCATCTATTCATCTTGTGTACTTTTAAATAGTATTGGATTATTGGATAATGTTTTAAGGGGTCCTTGAGTTATGGGATTTCCGAATTGTAATTGTTGGAGAATCATTAAGTAATATTTATTTATTAGTTTTCTTCAGCGGTTTATTTATTCTTTATTATTCATCTTTGTATTCTGTGCTTGTTAAATACTTAAATTGTTTTGATATCCCTTGATTTTGTGCGCGGACTTGATCAATCCGTGTTCCAAAATTAGGGGGTATCACACAAGTTTACCAAGAAATTGAACCAGATTCTACATTCAATGACTTTAAGAGGGGGGACTAAGACTAGAATGTAAGTACAAGTTATATTCTCTTTTTCTCCTTGAACAAACTTTTTCAATTCACTTAACAAAAGGGGAAATCCAACCAAACCAAACTCAAAGAGAAGCTCGAGACCATTTTAAAACTTCAACTAACATATTTGCATTTCTTCAATGATACGAAAATAAATTTCATTAAGATCTTAAAAACAAAAAACAGGTAAGAAACTTCATTGGAAATGGAACAAAAGCTCAAGAGGTAATCATGAGCAAAACAATTTTAATGCCAAGAAATTGAACCAGATTCTACATTCAATGACTTTAAGAGGGGGGAGTAAGACTAGTTCACAATTATGGTTTATCATTTATATGTAAAATAACCAAGTTCGTATTTTCTTACAAATAAAAGATGCAAACAAAATAAGATAAAACTATTAGAACCCACAAAGAAGCTTTTATTTTATTTTTGTCCTCATTTGCAAGACACCCAACACTTCTTTTAGAGGTAATATGTAAAGAAAGCTAATAATATGGCAATATATGAGACAACCATCCAATAGTTCTTCGCAATTATATTATCAAAAGCTTTCTAATTTGACAATAAGGAGATTAAAGAAGCACAATCTGTATCGTATGGCTTAAGCCAAATCAAGAAGGGACGGGTTAAAATTGAATCGCATAGGTCATAATAAATTTCAGTGTGACCATTCAGGAAGAAATATATATATATTTCAGTGTGACCCTTCCATGAAAGAATTTATCAGAAAAACAAAATCAGAACAGAGCCAAGAAAGCAAACAAACCCTAAATAAATCCCTATTAATAAGAAATCACAAATTCCACCAAACCCAAATAAGCAAATCAATCAAATAGGAAAATATCGCAAAAAATAAATAAATAAACTGATATAGAATGAAATACCAGAGCAGTGATTTGCATCGAAAGCAGTAACAAAGAAGACGCCATCCGGGTCATCGACAGAGACTGGTTGGCCGACTTCAATACCTACAAACAATGAATCATCAAGCTGCCAAAACAACCTCAAAAGAATTCCAAAATTAGAAAGAAAAGAAATGAAATTGATGTATCTTAAAACAGGGCAAAGTTTGGAGAATTAAGACAAACCTTGGGGTATTGTTGAAGCGTGAGACTTTTGGTGAGAAGGGTACAATAAATTGGGTATGAAGTGTGAGTGGAGATTCCTTGGGAATGATCTTTGTGGGCATGAGTAAGAAAATGGTGCCTCTTCTTCTTCTTCTTCGAAGGGCTCCATGTATCTACAGAGAATGGTAGCCCTTTCGGCATCTCTATAGGCATCTTTCTGTGTGTGCGTGTGAGACAGATTTCTGAATTCACAAGCTTGCGAGAGAGGAGAGATGAAATTTGAGGAAAAGGGGGGAAATTTGCGAAACAGCAAAAGTTGAATGGGTTAGAATCTTGTGTGCTATCTCTAATTCTGCAATCGGTCACTGAACTCGTTTGGGGCTGCTAATTTTGTCTACTGTATCTATAAAAGTCAATCCTGGGTGGGCCCATTATCTCCTATGATTGGTTTGGGCAACCGACTGAAGGTTTACCTACCTTTTCGTATCCGGCACAACACATTGATTTCCCCAACAATTATGAGAGAGACATTCGGGACTTGAGTCAATTGGGTTGGGTATTTGGGTGTGAAGGCAATTGGGTTGGGGGGTGTTTGGGTCTGTGGGTAACAAAAAGCATATTAATGTCTTCTAATATTTCATAAGGGGCACAATGGTCGTATAAATGCAAGATGTGCATGTAAATTGTATAGTTTAGGAAGTTGAGCATTTTATCCTATAAAAAATGATAGTCTTAGGATCCGTTTGGCATGTAAGTTATGTTTTTTACCGGAGTGTTTTGGGTAGAGATCGAAAAGATGTTTGGTATCGAAAATTTGTTGTAAGAAATTTGGAAACAAAAACATGTTTGGTAATAAGATAAACACGTTTGAGAAGTCCTATTTATTGCCAAAATTTCTGAATCCTTACATGAAACTTGTTTGGTAGAAGTTGTTTTCTTTATATTTTTAAAATTAAGTATATATTAATACAATTATTAGTTTATATCTAATAGTTCAATTTTATATGGTTTGACAAATTTTACACACCCAAAAAAAAAAAAAAATCCATTATAACTTGCAAAAAAATTATACATTGACACTTGGATGAAAATAAGATATACTTGTGATGAAAATATTAAAAGATCAACCATTGGTTTTTATATGTTGAAGTGTATAGATACTCAACTACCACCATCATCTTGACAAATATGTCTGTTGTATTACTTGTATACCACTGAATTTTATGCCTTAGGTCAGGACGAACCTAAAGAAGAATGAAGGGGGCTTGCCCTCTTAATTTCTTTTTTAAGTATTAAGTAGTTATAATTTTTCTTATTTTCAGTTATATATCTTTGAAAAGATTCACTTTTGCCCCCCTCACCCAATATCCTAGGTTCGTCCATGCTTAGGTGTTGTTTGATAACTGAATGCAGCGCTTAATTTATTCACTCAAGTGTGTTTGATAATGCAATTTGAATATCACTGAAAAGGCTAAACATTTTTTTTTATCTTAATTGGTATTCACACACACATGTCTCCACCAAAGCTTGAATTCTTAACCTTTCTTTGAAAAGTAGGAACCCGGTACCTATAGACCACTGGCATGTTAATAAAATGTGATAAGAAAAATAGTTTGTGAAAGTTGTTTTGCTAAGAAAAATAAAAAATTATACAAATAAAAATCCCTATTATATGTGCGTGTGTGTCTATTATATAATGTAAAGTTGTAATAAAAATATTCATGTGCACATGGTAATGGGCCTCAACATGAGGACAACACCACTCAACAATAAGAGTTACAAACAATAATAGATGATGATGGGGCTACCTTTCATTTTTTTTTTTTTTTGGTTAATTACAATGACACCTCCTGAGGTTTGTCATATTGACAGCCATATACAACTTACCCCTTTTTTGGACAAAGACACCCCCATACTTACAAACTTGAACAATGACACCCTATTTTTAAAAAACGGAGCCAAACACAGCCTAAAGTCACATGAAATGTCTAATATGCCCTAAGATATATTTTAATCCTCACATAAAATGACCAAACTACCCCTCATCTCATCTCTCTCTTTCAACAACTCTCATCTTATCTCTCTCTCTCACACACAAACTGCTCTATCGCCCTCCTCTTCTTCCATACCCTCAAACCGCCAATCCGTAAATCAAACCCAATTTCTCTCTATCTCACACACACAGTATCTCTCAAATCCCCAGTCACTATTCTTGGTCATCGATTCCATGCCGCAGTTCCTCTCACGACCGAGCCCTCCACCGGTTGAGCTGCCCGTTGTCATCGAGTGATCGTGGAGTTGGGTTTTAGATTCGTGTGATGGGTGACTATCCAGCACGGTTCGGAGAGCACTTTTAGGACGGCGGCCAGCGAACAAGAGGGAATGCTCGGCCGGTGGAGAGCTTGACTATGGATGCAGGCTCAGCCGTGGAGGACTCGATACGGCTAGTGATGGCTCGGCCATGATGAAGACGGCCTCGGCTGTAGGGAATTAACACTTTTCTTCGGGCTAACTATCACAGAAAGAGAAAGGGAGAGGAGAGAGAAGTTAGAGAGAGAGATTCTAACATATATATATATATATATATATATATATATATATATATATATATAATTGTATGTGTAAATTTCTTGATTTCATCTGAACTCACTTGCATTTCGAGTGTCGCCGGAGTTCTTTGTGATCTCAACAAAAATTTTAGATGTTGTCAGTATCTGATAGTTCTTGGGTTAAATTTGGAGCAAATATGGTTAATTAAATGGTTGAACAAGCCACGAGCGCTATGCTCATCGGTCTGAATTACCACAAGAAGAAATTAACAATAATGTTGTTGCCCAATCAATCCGAATCGATGGGTCACACCAAATACATATCGTTGCCCCTTCATCGATGTCAGAATCGTGTCACCGTCGTGCAATCGCCACTGTTAGTTGCCGGACCTCGTTGCCTCGTCAACGTCGGAATCGCGTCACCGCCATGCCATCGTTGGTGCTAGTGGCTGGAACTTAATCACATTACTTGATCGCCACTGTTGCTAGAGTCCAATCTCATCGATTGGTTGTCGCCAGAGCCAAAGCCCAGAAAGTTGCAGATGTTTGCCATGTTTACCTTCTCTCTCTAACTTCACTTTAATCGATTGACGGTTGTCGCCAGAGCCAAAGCCCAAGAAGAGAGAGTTGCGATGGCAGTAAGCAGACTGTGAAGGAATGGACTACGGCTGTGGATGGCTCGGATGAGAGCGACGGCGGGACAGTGATGGGCTCGGTTGTGGGCCTCTGGCGACGGGGAAGAAGGGCTCACAGGGAATGAATAGGGAGATAAAAAAATTGGAAGAAGAAAAAAAAATTTGGATGAGGGTAATCTGGTCATTTTACTTGGTCAAAGGGTAAACATGTCCTTTCATCATGTTTGGGGTGTCATTGTTCAAGTTTGCAAACTTGGGGGGTGTTTTTGTCCAAAAAATTACTAAGTTGTATACAACTGTCAATAAGACAAACCTCGGGGGGTGTCATTGTAATTAACCCTTTTTTTTTCTTTTTTTTTAGTTCTTTTAGACCTCTTGTGGACACTGCTAGTTACCAAAATAACCCTTGGATTTTTTTAGTACTATTTTACTTTATCTTTTAAAAAAACAAAAACAAAAAAAAAAAAACAAAACGTGTGAGTTTCCTTTTTTGGATTATATACATATCATGGTTTGTCGTATCGGTCAATAAGTATGTATTGTCTGATTCGTAACATTTTTTTATTAATCCAATTTCGTTACACACTGTAATACCCCTAATTTTAAAAAGGATATTCCTGGTATTTAATGGTATTTAATTTATTATTTAAGTGCATTTTTTTTTATTATGTGTCATTATTTTTTTATTAGGTGCTTAATTATTTCTTTTGTGGTGATTTAATTTATTTAAATAATATTTATTTTTAGTTATTTGATTGGAATTACTTGTTAGTGTTTTAATTATTTAATTGGCATTAATGGTTTAAGTGTAATTGGTTTAATTATTCTATGTGTGTCTTATTTGGTTTAATTGGGTTTACTAATTATTATTTTATTCAATTAGATTATTTGTTAAGTATTTAATGGTGAATAGGGTAATTAGGTAAATACATCTAACTAGGGTTTTAATTACAGTATAAATTAGGGTTTTATATTATAGCCGTCGTAGGTTTCTACGTTAATTGGATGGGCCGGTTAGGATTGTGAGTTGGACTTAAATGAACATAGGGTTTAGGAAAACTCTATAAGTATAAGGTAGATGTCTGTGTAGGGTTTTTTCTAAATAAAGCATACGTTTTGCGGGAGTGGAGAAGAAAAAACGCAGTTTTTCACATTCTGCCAAGGTTTGATCAAAGCTCCGATACCGCTTCGTCCATGGTCCGATCGAGCTGAATTTTGGAGGAGAGGTTCACGACTCAGTGACGCACAATCTGAACGGTGGAGATCAGAGTTTGACCTCGGGAACAGTGATTCTTACTCGTGAACAGTAACCGGGTCGCACAGGTTTTTTTTTCTATTCTGCCCAGATTTCATCAAACATCCGATTCCGCTTCGTCCGTGGTCCGATCGAGCTGAATTTTGGAGGAGAGGTTCACGACTCAGTGACGCACAATCTGAACGGTGAAGATCAGAGTTTGACCTCAGGAACACTGTTTCGTACCCGTGAACAGTAACCGGGTTTTGGAACTCGCCGGGATTTTTTAAGAAGACGACGTTGAAACTTTGAACAAAAGTTTCTGAGGCAAGGTTCTATCCTTACTCTTTCCCTTAGGCTTCATACTCTTTGCACTCTTAAATGATTCGAGGATTAATGAAGATTAAACCAAACTAAAATGATATCTGTTTTGCTATGAAACTGGTAGTTACAGTAGTGTTGTATGCTTGTTCAACCTAGACTAAGCATGTTTGTGGATGCATTGTGGTTCTGTGGTTCACGTTTTTCCTTACCACTGCTAGTATAAATTATTGGTAGGATGGGTCTAGATGATAGCTATCTTAACTTCTGTAATAGCAACTGTTGGAACTTAAATACTAGGAGGATTTGAGTTTAACACTAGATCGGTTTTGTAGAACACTATAATTTGAGCATGTCTACATACATACTGTGAATATTGTTTTGATGCTTACATTATCACAGTTAGTATCAACTGTGGAGGTTAGGATTTTGTGATACATACCCTACATATTTGTATGTCATTTGTAAGGTGTTAAATGGAAGTTTTAATTAATTCTGTCTTTATATCAGACTAAAGGGAACAACTTAAATTGGGCATGTATATGTTGTTGTTGTGACCCTGTTTATCAATGCTTATTTTTATCACTGCTAACATTGAATGTTGGATGTTGG